GGATCAAAGCATTGTCAATACACATGCTTAGCACCAGTTCATCCCTGTGGGGGCTCGGAGAATTGGGTAAATCCGCTGGCCCGAACGTGATCGGGTCTGTCCTTCCTTTCTTCTGGGGGGCAGCGGAGACGAATCCCACATAAAGACTTCGCTCGAACCTTTTCCGTTCGGCGTTCGAATCTCCGGTCTCCCCGCCCCCAAATATGACCTTGACCTCCATTCGAGGCTTCTTTCCAGGGCCTCCCGAGCCCTCTGGCTCATCCCTGGGAGGATCATACGCATCATTTTGAGGCTGGGCGTCACGTTGAGCATCCCGGCGCCAGCTATTAGGTTTCCTGGCCGGTTTCAACGTGCCCATTGCATTCGGATCTTTGTTCACATATTTGCCCAGATGGCCCCTTCGGATCAGATCCTCAATTGCTGTTTGTAGGGACCTGCAGGCATTGGTGGCATGACCCTTTCTGTTGTGATATTTACAGAAAGCATTGTCATCTGTTCCCATGAACTGTCCAGAATCAGTCGGGATGGGAATATTGTCCCTCTCGTGCTGATAGATGGTCGCTATTGATAGGACCAGGGGTGTAAATCTCCCTTGTTTGGGAGGTAAAGTGGCCGCTGGGCTAGGACCCAGCCGATCGGCCAGTCTGATCGGGGCAGCAGGCGTAATGACCTTATCCCTGATCATTATCTCCTCTTCTAGGGCGGCATGCTTGCGAGCCCTATCTAACACCTCGGCGTACGCCGTACCCGGGTTCTTCTTCAATTCTTTGTACAACTCTCCCGTTCGGAGAGCATTCGTGAACAGGGTAATGGCGGTATCATCCGTCATGTTTCCCACTGTTAAAGTTTCATCCCTCCACCTTTTCAGGAATTGGTTGAGGGTCTCCTTGGTGTTTTGCTTCACGCTGGTCAAATAGCTGAAGTGCCGTTTGGGATTGGCACTGGAAGCAAATTGAGCCAAGAATAACGCTGATAACTCGGCAAAGCTATTGATTGACCCGGGCTGTAGTGTCCCGAACCATTCCTGGCCGGGCAGGCCCCCTGAGCGTGCTGAAAAACAAACGGCAAATGGCGGCCTCGGGTGCTCCTAGCAGCATAAGTCCCCCTTGGTAACTCCTCAGATGTACGTGGGGATCTCCCACCCCATCGTAAATTTGGCCGGTCGGGAGCTTGGCACCCCCTTGGATATCCGCGTACATGAGCTCCCTAGTAAACGGGGAAGTAATTCTCAGCTGAACTGGTGCGGGTTGTACAGGTACCCTGTTCATCTGGTCCCGCATTTCATTCATTTGCCTCCTCATCTCGGCCATCTCTTCCTCCTGGGCCGTCAAAGGGGGCGGTGGTGGAACCCTCATATCCGTACAGTCCCGGTCCCAATGCCGCTGAGGGGCCCTAGTATTTTCCCGCTCGGCATACTGGAAATGATGACCGACGGGAGTTGGTCCTCTAGCTTGCGACCTGACCGGGGTTCGGTCACTGGGACTGGGATGTGCTGCTGGTGGGGCGCTACGTCGATTATCCCGATGGGTATGCGAACGGGATGACGCTGTGGTCGTTTCCGCGCGTGGAGTTTCTCCTGTAATGCTGGAACCTCCTTCCTCTTCGTTCGCCATGTGCTGCATGAATTGGGCCATGTCACGCATGGCCTGGAGATTTCTTCTCAGAGATTCGGGAATCACAAAATCCCCATTAAAACGAGGATACGATCCTCGACTGGATTGTCCCTGGGGGTTTTGACTCCCCGGGGTGTGACTCCTCCCATGACGGTGTGAACCGTCGTTTGTATGATAGGAATTGATTCTGACCATTTTTTTAAAAATAGAGGTTTTTTGGATGTTTAGAAAGTGAAACTTTTTGCAAGTTTCCCACAGACGGCGCCAATGTTGGGGGTAAGTCTCGTAGATCCGAAAGCCCAACACGAACTTTGGATATATCAGGAATGGCCCAGAATCAAAGCGTATAAGAAAATATAAGATCTGAACTAACTAAAACTCGAAAGCCCACTTGTATTAATTAACCAATCTGATTACAAGGAATTTCCCGATCGGTAAGTCGGAAACTATGCTTTAATACAAGAAATAAGAGCAAATGATGCTATTCTAGAGCTTGAGTATTGAAATGCTAACCCTTACAATGACTTGAAACCTTCTATTTATACTAATGGAGAGCATGGGCTGCCTCTTGCTGATTGGCCGTGGTTCCACCGACTTGGTCATACATGCTTCCACTTGCCGATGTCATAGTCTGGCATTAATTGCATCTGGCCACTTGCTGGTTGGCCGTTGCTCGGACAGGATGTTGGGCTGTACTGAAGATGCTGTCAAATTGGCCCAAGTATGATATGTAGTCCGAGCCCCGTTCGGTATGTCTTCTTACTGGGCCAACCTTTATTTGGGCCGAACTCCGTTCGGTATGTCTTCTTACTGGATCTATTCATCACAGAGTGATGGGCCCGTTGCTTGGGCCGGATATCTTGGGCCTTCCCGATCTTGGTATTGGGCCTCTAGGTCGATATCCCAACAGGTTTCATAGGATCCTTCTAGGCACTCCTATATCTTTAACATTCTACAATATAATGTTCTATAAGATTCCTAATAAGCAAGGCTTATTAGATCGGTTTCTTCCAACATCGGAGGTAGATTCAACGAAGTCTAGCACAACCACAACTGAAGAAATTCCAAGACATGTAAGCTGGTTTTGTGCTAGGTCGGGATTGACATCTGATGGATATTTAGCTTTTCTCGGTAATACTGATGGCATGAAAGAGAAAAAAAACAAATTGGTAAGTTAAACGTTTCTTATATCTTTTATAAATTCGCTTAAATTAAAGCTAATGCACTTTAAATAAACTATATAATAGGACAAAATTCAAGATGACATAGCTGCAGGGACATGGAAGCCAATTGGACGACATGATATTTTGACTGAGGTTGTAGGGAAACCTGACTATCCTGGCCGTGCACGTGGCATTGGTGGTGGTGTGGGTTATACTCGAGTGTTTGCAGCAGAGCGTAGAGGTGGACGGCGTGATAAAGTAGGTAATTTGAGTGAGGATGATTTGAAAAAGTTGCAAGAGAGATGGTTGAAAGATATGCATCACTACTTTGTTCCTAGAGGTGAACAACCTACCATGAGATCAACGCAAGCTTCTGAGTCAGGCCAAGTTGATACAATGAACTCCACGGCTGATATTCCACATAAATCTTTCATTGTGAGTAAGAATAAAATAAATTTACTATGTGAATGAGAAATTAATTATGGGATGGAGGGAGTATATGATATTAAGTCTTTTATGCAATGTAAATCTTTAATTGCATGTGGAAATTCATGCAGGATGGTGCAAATTGTAGGCTGGTTGTTGAGTCACAAACTGTTAATGGTGATATGAGCTTGGATTATGTGGCCGTAGCTGTAGCTTACAACACACCAGTTGGTGCTTTGATTCATAATGTATCGATGTCTGATAAAACAATTAAAGTGACTTCAATGGCTACGTGCCAATGTGGACCGCCTGTGACTTTCTAAGATGTTTTTTAGTCTATTCTTTTCCAAGCTTTACTCTTTACCCATTTTTTCTAATTCTTTTTCTTTCTGGTACGCAAGGTTCTTCCGCATCTACCGGCCTGCAACTTCAAGGGCAAAAGCCTTCTCTCCGCCTTCCTCCTCCCTCTTCCCTTTTCTCTCCCCGTTTACTTTCTTTTTCATGGACTTTTCTCCTTTTACTCACAACAGCAAATCTTCACCGTCATCGTCGTTCTAAACCCTGCCGTCGTCGCTCCTCTGCTTCGCCGCATAAATTTCATCGCCGGGATGATTCTCTGTTTCGTGCCCTTGTTCAAGGCCGAGCTTCTCCTTCCCGATTGTACTGTACCACTGTTAGAAATTAAACTCGGCTTAGCCTAATAATCGGGTCCATTAGAAATACATAACTTATTGGGCTAGTAGTTATATGAGAAATACGAAGTAATAAATTAGTTAGCTCATAAGTTGGACTTAGTAAATAAAGATCTAGAGTACTCTTTAGTTAATGTACCTAACATAGGTGCAAAAACGTCATTTCGAGGCGCTTTTTTTTGTACACGTGCGGCGCTTTATGGCGCCTCTAATGTATAGTGCCGTAACGTGTTTTTAGAGGCGCTTCTCTGCAAAAAGCGCCTCCAATTTTTTAAATATTTTTTTTTTCACTTTGCGTGCGGCGCTTCTTTGTTAAAAAGCGCGTCTAAATTTGAAAATCTTTGGGACGCGTGCGGCGCTTATTTGATCACAAGCGCCTCTGAATTTGAAAATCTTTGTGACGCGTGCGGCGCTTATTTGATCAAAAAGCGCCTCTGAATTTGAAAAACTTTTAGAGGCGCTTTACCGGTTGAAGCGCCTCTAAAATTTTATTTAATCAAAAATATTTGTATTAAAAATTTAGCTAGATGCCCTGTTTATAATACGTAAAAATACATAAAACTAACTCCATACAATCAAACATATCCGATAAAAACAGTACCATATCATCTATAAAAACGCATAATGCACAATCAAATACGTGTTTAATTAAACATCCAATCAACATTCATACATTACAAATTTCATACATTACAAATTGTTTGGCTAAATAGTTTTTTCTCAACTTTGCAATACAACATCCAGAAAGTATCTTGACCATATATTTCTGATATCATTGAACTCTGCTAATGTGTATGGTTCACTTCTTGAACGCCATACCTGAAATGTATTGAAATGATCACAAATATATTTCACTTTAATTACAATACAATATATATATAATAAATAACTTTGCAAACTCACAATTTATTCATACCTTTCCAATATCATGATTTTCAGAGTATGATATTATTTCCCACATGAATCTCATGACATAATATCCACATTCAGTACTTCCGGTTTGTTGTGCAACCTGTATAGTTCACATCACACGTATTATAAATCAAAATTCCATTTCAAGATTACTTTCCTAAGATTAATTGTAGGATAGAAAGGATGTAACATACCTTCACACTATTCCATTTTTGTGCAGATGCAACCCTGTACATTCTACAAATTCAAACAAACATATATCCCTTATCGATCATAATATTAAAACATATTAATATGTAAATTAAGTTTATTCAAACAAATATATAATACTAACGTTGTCAAGTCTCTTTGAATACTAATGCTAGAACTCGAAATGGAATCAAAAATATATCCCTTATCGATCATAGGGCAAATGACAAGTAGAATCCAATGATACCTATATTGTATAAAATAACACAATAAATAAATAACGTATCACAAGAATTATTTCAATGGAAATATATTGTATATGTTTTACCCTTCATGGTATGGAAGGAAAATGAATGACTTTTCAAAGGACTTTATCAAAGCATGTTTCAAGTAAGTCATTGTGCCCTTTTTGTCCAATTTATAATGTTCAGAAGAGCACAGGTGAGGGCACAAAAAGCCAATGTCGTCACGGCCAAGCTCAACTAGCTTTTCTTTTAAACAACTGCACATACATAAATACTATCACACTTCGAGCACCTAAAGACATTTACTTAATTTAAAAGTAATGTATATTGAATACTTACACCATGAAAGTCTGAATGATACAAATCTCAAGTGAGTCCCCCTCAAGAAACCGAGACAACTCATCACGATCAATTGTAGCCCCAAACGGACGATCTTCCTGAAAACAGAACACATCTGTAGAAAGATGGACAGAGAACTTACAATTTTCAAGTTCAAACCACTGCAATGCCTCGTGCAACTCCAAAACATCATCTGTAAGAGTATCAAGTATGCTCTCACTGACTAACGGGCATATAGAAGGTGCAACCGTTACTTTTGGAGGATCTCTCTCAACAAATGGGGTTTGCTTCTTCTTCATCTCTTTTTTTTTTTGTTGAAATTGTGGTTCCTAAAAAAAAGTCAACAACAAACACGATACACATATATAAATATATACATAAATTACACTTAATAAGATAGTATAAGGTTACTACTATTTAGCTACCTCCCCCTCAAAAATCACCAACCGAGCTGGCCACTGAACAAAGGAACCCACAGCATCCGCTATAACATACATATCAGTCGATTCATTTGGAAACAACAAGGGACACTGATCACAACCTGGACATGGCATTGATATGTTCACTTTAATTGTTTTATCAGACATCGATACATTATGAATCAAAGCACCAACTGGTGTGTTGTAAGCTACAGCTACGGCCACATAATCCAAGCTCATATCACCATTAACAGTTTGTGACTCAACAATCAGCCTACAATTTGCACCATCCTGCATGAATTTCCACATGCAATTAAAGATTTACATTGCATAATAGTTTGTGACTTATACCGTGCAACCGGGGCACCATGAGGATGGTGCACCCGGTTGCAAAACGACGTAGGATTGTTTGTTTCTTTTCTTTCTTTTTTTGCTTTTGTTGTTAAAAAATGATAATACCTTTTTTATTTTTTATCCGATTTTTATAAAATTTATATCAACATTTTTTATTTTTCATGATCTTTCAAATGAGACCAATATTGCTTATGTAATTTTAAAAACTTATCGAACTATTATATTAATGGTATTGGATTATAAGGAAAATCGAACTAAATTTAATTTAGAAAAATAATTGTGTAAATCACAATTTATCTTAAAATTGTGTATATAAAAAATTTATTGTATTATGTATTTATACATGTGAGTTACATATTTTTATACGTGAAGTTACATATTTTTACACGTAAAGTTACATATTTCTACACGCAAGTTACATATATATACACACGAGTTGCATATGAATTGCAGGGAGATGATAGGTTTGTGAAATAGAAGATCGAATCTGTTTGGGAGTGGATCAGTGACCTCAGTTACATTGAGTTACATCTTTTTATGAGCGAGTTACATCTTTTTATAAGCAAGTTACATATTTATACACGCGAGTTACATATTTATACACACGAGTTACATTTGACCTGTTTGAACGCGAGTTACATATTTTTACACGTTAAGTTACATATTTTTACACATAGAGTTACATATTTATACACACGAGTTAGATTTGGCCTGACTAGATGTGAGTTACATATTTTTACACGTAAAATTACATATTTTACATAGGTTAATATAATAGTTCGACAATATGTTAAAATTACATAGGCAATATTGGTCTCATTTGAAAGATCATGAAAAATAAAAAATGTTGATATAAATTTTATAAAAATCGGATCAAAAATTAAAAAGTTATTACCATTTTTAAAAAAGTTTTGGGAGTGGGTGTACGGTGCTAATGCTGGAACGGTCGTACGGTATACGAACTCTTGAACAAGAAAAGTGTTGTTTACCGACATTTTTAGTTCGACTGTTTTCAATCCCACATAGACTTAAACAGATCAACTTAAACCGACTAGACTAGATCAGACTTACTTCCGTAGTTATAAAATACAGAAAGACCAGACGTTCACAAAACCAGACCAATTCAAACCAGAATAGATTTAAAAAGATCAGACCAAATTTAAATAGATCATCCTACATCGTCAAATTATAGTCATCCTTGAACATCTCAATGGAACATTTTATAAGAGGACTTTATAGAAAGAGGACTTTTTCTCCCCCTGGTGCGGCGTGCCGCAACCGCCACGTTTAGTATATGAATTATTGGAGTGTTTTTGGGTCACTGAATACGTAACTAGCTAGTACTACGTGGTATGCATTAGCTAGGAAATCTCCGGCCTACCAAATTCTGACTATATAAGAGGAACGTCGCGTGATATACTCCTCCGCAAGCCGGTCCGGCGGCACGGGCTGCCTCTTACTACGTACGTACTTGGCTTGATTTGATCATATCGCATAATGGCGATAGAAGGGCACTGTGTGTGTTTTCTTCTTTGCGGTGCTGTCATAATTTTAATTCCTCTTTTTCTTCTTGGGCTTGGTTTTGGGTTCGGAATCAAGGAGTCGTCGACCTCCGACCCGGTGAAACCGGTTTACGACGTCGTGAATGCGACCATGGTAAACACTGCTTATACAAACGACCGCCTCACCGCCGACTTCAGCTTCACCCTCAAAGCGGACAACTCCAACAAAAACAAAACCGTAGAGTTCACTAACTCCACGGAAGCAACGACACTTTATTTCGAAAGAGAAGGGGAGCTGCCGACGCGGGTGGCGTCGTCCACCGCGTTGCCCGTCCCGTCCCCGCTGCCTCCCCGGAGCTCCGATAATCTCTTCAACTTCGGTCTCCGTGCACAAGACGCGCCTCTTGACGCCGGCAACTCCGAGTTCTTCAAGACTGGGAAGTCGGGGTATGACACGTTTGACAATAAGATCTTCGCGCAATTAGAGGTGAAGTTAATGGCCAGGTTGGGTGAGAACTCGACCTACGGCCTTCTTCTAGTGACATGCCGTGGTCTGAAGTACTCTTCCCAGGGTTTTGACGTCAAGCAAAACTGGTGCAACTCTTACTACGGGGACTCAGAAACATAAGCTTGCCGTCACTTTCAATTAAGAAATGATCGGTAATTTGTCCGGCAAATATCGGTGATTTATGTCTCTCTTTTCAGTTCTCGAGTTCTATACTTCCAATAATTAAGCTTACTAATGTACGAAGTATTTTCTCAATAGTTCAGGGAATTGTGTCTTTTAAGTAGTCTGACCTATTGTGTACATGTAATCTCTTCATTCATTTCAGATAGTTGATTCTTCAAAAGTTGAGTATACCATTCATTCCATCTTGTATAATATGGAACTCTTTTTTCAAGTTTTTACATTTTTTTTGTCTCACTTATATATAGCATGGGGATAATTGGATAAATATATGGAAAACAATTGTTGAAAGAATTTCATAAATAGGACTAAAACAAGGGAAAATTTCACAAATAGGAGCAAATCGTACTCATTTTCCAAAACTAAGATGGAAGATTAGCGTAACACTCAACTAAACCTGCATTGACCACAATACCTTTACGTTGGGGATGTACGTCTCCTGAAGTAGTGGGAAATCGTCTCCAGTTGGGGACGTACGTCCTCTGATACGTAATAGTAGACATTAAGTAGACAATAAGTAGACAATAAGTAGACAGTTGAGGACGTACGTCCCCTGAAGTAGGTGGAAAGCGTCTCCAGTTGGGGATGTACCTCCCCTGAAATGCGGAATTTCAAACTCAAATTACTCAAGCTGAAGGGGCAAATTTGGAAACTAATAATTGAGTTTCTTAAAATAGGAGTACATGTGACACACAGATGAAAGAAACATTAGGCAGTCCTAATTTTGTAAAAGTATTATGATTTGGTCCTACCAGCGTCAATTTTCTCCTAAAACAAGGTAGAATTGCAAAAATAGGACCACTATATTTTATAGGACTAAAAAGAGTTAATATGACAAAACCGTCAAACCTACGAGTTAAAACTTAATCCAACACGAAATAGTAACACTACAAGAAAAAACGTTTTTTGCATCGACAAAAAGTCGACACAAAAGGTCAAAAGTCGACGCAAATACTTCATTTGCGTCAACATGTGGACGCTAATTGTTGGAGATATTTTAATTGTGAATCAAGTTTGTCATAGATTAGCTTTATAATTAATCCTTGTATTTAATTAGTGCATGAATTAGATAGAAGTTGGGCCAAGTGTTAGGCCCATATAACCAGGCTAAAAGCCTTGTACGCCTAACCTAAACCTCGAAATTAGCTTTCCATCAAAAAGTTATGTGATCATCATTGTAAATCACCGATGTCCAGGTCAAAACTTAGGCAAATCTGTTCAAATTCTTTCAATGTCAACCCTGAGGTCAAAGATTTTCTAAACTTCAATGTAAAGGTCTGAAAATCGTAGATAATTCAATCAACCTCGCGTCAACGGTCATCTTACAACAATCAACAATCAACCGCTGAAGCCTCCCCTGACTCATCAACATTATGTGATCATCAATATGCTGAAATTCTACATGGTGAGCTCAGGGAAACCGTCATGTGTGGTACATGTTTAGATTTCTCCACACACATGGCGGGTATGACAAGCTGTGAGCAATCAAACCTTGCACATTCTGAGGGGGAGTTTCAGTTTTCTCCTCCTGGTGCCTTACACCGACAAAGCAAGGAATCTCTCAAAGGATGCAACATTTTAGGGGGAGTGTTCAATGTTATCCTCCCCGGTGCCTAACAATGACAAAGCATTCTGAGTGCTTCAGTTGAGGGGGAGCACAGAGAGAAAATGAGGAAAGTAATGAGAGAACATGTCCCTATGGCTTAGTAAACCCAACTAAGCCTATCCAAGGGACAAAGCCGAGCGTAAGTGCGTAAGTGAGCGAGTGAGTGAGTGAACATTATGAGCATTAGGAAGCAGAAGGCTCGAGTGAGAAGGAAACAATTATCAATGATGAGTCTGCTACCTCAATTGCCTGCTATGAATTGACCATTTGCTCCTAGCCACTAAAATACTCTGGACTATCCCCATAGGTTCAGGACTGAATTTATTCAGATCCCGGGTAGAAGTCGCTGCATTTTGTCCAAACGGCGCATGCACAACCCTACCCTAGACCACTCACTTGTCTCCCAACAGACAGGTGTTTAATCATAGTTCACGGGGAACCGCATCTCTCATTACTGTCTCCTTCCGAGGCAAGTAATACTGACTACAGTGGCCTCAGCCCCATGCCACTGAACTTTCATTGATCACATCGTGTCTAGTTACTCACTCCCAAATGTTTTGAAATTTTCTAGGACACAGACGAACTTTTAGAGTCAGTTACAGGTCTTCATGACCCGCGAGAACTTCCATAGGGCTCATCTATTACAGATGTAGACCAATAATTGGAAGGAAGTCATGCTGTTGCAACATAAGAATCACCAACATTTTCAGGCCATTGCTTAAGAGTTTATCTCTATAGTGATGATAACGGGCGTCTTCACGACCCCGGGGGGCTACGTTATCTTCTTTACATTCTGCTTGTTTTTCCTGTTTTATTTCCGCAGAATAAAAGAATAAAGGCATGACGCCCCGAGTCATCGGATCGTCATGAGGGGGAGAGTGGTCCACATGCTGTTAACTGTCAAGATCATTCTGGGACACTTCTCTCCTCCA